GCCAAATTGTTGGCTGGTGGCTGCTTGTGGTTTCTTTTTTTTATGGCAACCAAATTTCGTTTATTACGGTGTTAATTGCGCGCTCGATACAAGTGCGGGCAAATGTTTGCACATCATAAAGGTAGGTGCGCTGAAAATGAGTAAGCAATCGAACTGTGCGAACACGAAGTGGGTGAATAAGAAATTAGTAAAAAATTTTAAAAGTGTTTTCCGTTCAAAAAATTCGACTTAGAAATAATAGAAAACAGCTACTTCTAGAAAAACTCGCATCGCGCACTTGCACCGATGGCAAACTAAAAACGACGCGCGACAATCGCGATTTTATGGAATAGAGATTAATACCCAACAACAGGAGAACACATATGCTAAAGTATATTTACAAATAGTCGCGAAAAAATACAAATAACAGCTAAAAACAAAATGCAATTCATGTGAGCGCTGTTGAGAGCGGCTGAGCAAATATGGAGGTGACAAAATTGATTTGTGCCTTTCCATGTGATCGATGCGTTCGTTTGAGCGGTGAAGTCAGCATATGATTATTAGCGCCTGCGAGCAGTGAGCGTTAATATTGGAACTGCAAGTGTATCAGTTGGTTGCTCATTACGCTAACGATACACAATAACTTCAAAGCGAATAAGAGTAGTACTTACGGTGGCGAGAATGTACATAAATAGGGAAAAGATATTTCAGCAGTTTTTTTACTTTTCTTCGTTTAAAAAATGTTCACTATTTTTTATGAAAATACAGCTTACTATCCACAATAAAAAATGTAAATAAAAACTTTAAACTTTGTAGAACATTTATAAAAGTTAGACAACTTTAAAAAAAAATTTTGTTCAGAACTTTAACCTTTTTTAATCCGATTTTTTAGAATGTAGCTTTGCAAGTTTGAAGTCGCTAAGACTTACCGTTGATATTTGGTAATTTTTGGTTTGCGCCATACAAAGTACAAATTTTTTGTATGGAGTAAATGGGCAACACTTTCTACAAAAGATAGCCAAAAGTCCTATTTAAAATTTTCACATTATTATACTAAAACAAAATGGGTTTCAAAACTGCTTACTCAGAATGTTTCTAAGAAATCCAATTAAAAAGCTCAAAGTTTTGATGAAGCTTTGTCGAATTTTTACAAATTTTTATACAAAGTTTGAAATTCTGACTTACATGGTTTTTGTTATATAGAGAGCAACACTTTCATAAAAAAAAAATACCAAATATCAAATAATCGAAAGGGAAATAGAAAAAGAATGCTAAAATATCTCTTCTCTATTTATATTTTTGCCACAGTACATTAAACTGCAATGAGTACAGACCGCGAGAGGGAAACTCTCTTATTCGGCTGGTTAGCATTGTGTTTTACCGGCGTCTAATCACTCTCAACTACACATAGCTAATGATAATAAATAATTGACTAATTAAATTTTTTTTTTTACTAATTTCACAATATTGCTTATGACGCAGCCATGTGTTGGCCTTGTTGTTTTCATCGTTAGTATCAGTGGGGCTATTCTCAGACAAGTTAGCGAAAAATATCGTTTTACTATCTCAACCTTGCACCATTCATAACAGCCACTTGCGTTAGCGATGCGAAAATTGTCGCAAACCCGTTTGAGAATACCCCCACAGGTCTGTAAAATTATCAACTGCCAAAGAAATATTGACAAGCTCAGGCAGCGGACTATTTCAATAATATTATGCCAGAGGTGTTTTAGGTGAGCTGGTGGTGGAAGGCATGAAGAATGGTCGCTTGTCTCTACAATTTTTTATAAGCATTTCATATTTATTTGATAAGGACGGAATCGAATCTATCGAAATTTCGCCAGTTTGAATTTTTGAAATCTAACGTCAGGTTCATGATCAGCTACCCAAAATATCTAGGATAACAAGTTTCAAGCCAATTCAATTGCTTTTCAAAATATTGTTCACCATATTGGATCCACGATTTTGAATGTTTTAAATTTAACTTTAAGTTCGTGATCATCAGCCCCAAACACGCCGGGTTGCAAGTGTTAAGCCATTCCGATAAGTATTCGAGTTTTAGGCACTTTTGATCGTTTACTGGCCCATAGTACTTCACCACAGCACTTCCCCTCATGGGTTTCCTCTACTCGCACTTCTTTATCGGTCTCTGTTGCGACATTTCTGTCACATAGTAAGCGATAGATACAACGGTAAAGTGGGATTTCAACGACTCAGCGCCACGCAATTAAACGCTTATCGATGTGAAAGAAGCAGTGCTGCCAAGTTTTGAATTAGAAAAAGTACCAAAACCTAAAAAAAAAAATCTCGAGTTTTTCCTCGATAAAAACACAAAATCTTTATTGGAGTAGTTAATGGATTTTGTATGCACACCAAATTTTATTGCAGGGATGCCCATTCAAATTAATAAAAATCAATGTTTCGTGCGCGACGGAGAATTCAAATATTTTTGTCCCAGCGACGTTAAGATTCTTGTCCCTGCTTAAATGTAAGCAAAATTTATTAATTTTCCCTGACTGTTTAAATGTTAAATTTTTCTTCGTTTTCCTTAATTTTTTTCTACAATTCCTATCAAACGAAAACCAAAACAAGAAATTCAGTTTCATGAACTATGTGATAGTTTAAATCTACACTGCAATCTCTTATTATCTTGTGAACTAAACTCTTGAAATATGACGAAATTTGATTTCCCTTTTTAATGTATCTTATTTGAGCATATTATCTACTGTCGCATAGTGGGAAAAATATTTTTGTGTCAAACAAGCTGTCTACTCTTCAAATCCCATCCAATTTCGATTATTTTCCCTCTGCGAGACTGGGTTCTATAACATAATGCACAACTTTAAAAATATATGCATATTCGCAACGGCTATCGCAGTCGCGGGATTACCAAAGGGGTAACACCCAGGATAAATTTCTGGACCGACCAACATCCAAAAAACGTATTTTTAATAGTATATCGCGACTCTAGCGCCACCTATTCAAGGATTTTGTACATTTTCACACTATGTAGCACTTTTTTGTGTGCCTCACAAATAAAAATACAAAATACAAAAAGTACAAAAAAACCAAATCAAGAACAATAAAAACACTTAAACTTTAACGCCAGCAATGTTATCCCTAGCATATGTTATGTGGTGAGTTTTTGCAAACCCGTTTCGTATACATATATGCGTACGATTTTTTTTTGTCGAGACCAGATACCTTAGCAATACACCTTAGAATGTTTATAAAAAATTTGGAGGCAACTAATAACAAGGAGAAAATTATCAATTCACGTGTTGAGAGATTATGCATATGCATGTATGTATATCTAGAACTTGTATTAAATACTCTCATCTGCAATTTTCATTAAAACGAATTTCATTTATAAAAATCCAGCAGGCTCTAAGCTGTCATCCATGGTGATAGTATTAAGACGATAGGTGAACATTAGGTTGTATCACGTTCAAAGCAAACAAAAAAAGTTTGCCGTACACCCCTAAGTCTAAAGTGTTTTTGCAAGGCAATGTCAGAAAAAAAGTCGTCAATTTCGAAATAACCTTTGTTTGCTGGAACCTAGGACGCTTTTTAGGCGCCTACATTTGGCAATAAATTTTCTCGTCTTAATAGTTCTACTGGAATAATCAAAAAACCGTCGGTTCGAAGCCTACTGAAAGAAGTCTGATGAGGAAATGTGGTGATTTCCGAAATAGCTATTACTTCTACCATTTTTTCAAATTACTGTTGCTTTTCCACAATAAATTTTCATTAAAAAAACGGCCTCGAGCTCAATAAAAATTGTTGAATTAATTTTTAATTAAAAAAATATAAGATCTAAAACCAAAATGAAAACTAAGTTGAAAAAATTAAACTAGGAAAAAATAAAACACGTGCCTTAAAATTTAATGATATTGAAAAATACACAATTTTTTTAACAATAAAAAAGTTGCGAAATTGTCTTGCAAAAGTACTTTAGGCTAAGGGGTGTACGGTGAACTTATTTCCAGGTACTGTAATTAATAGAGCAAACCAGCCAGCAATATAGACAACACAGTGACCTTTCTGAACTCCATAAGCAAGTGTATGGAGTTCTGCCAGCGTTGGGAATGGCTGTTTTAAAGCGATAGTTTAATGTTTATTTCGTACCTATGGAAGCACCAGTGCATACTTGCTTGCGAACATTAGGGCTATTAGGAAGTCTTTTAGTTGGTACAGCTTATTTAAAAAAGCTTTAAAAAAGCCCTGCCTTTAAAAATGTTTTTAGAAGCTATCTGCGAATTGCTGAACTACAGCAAAAACAGTTTGAAAAAAATCAAAAATCTTCACAAAGTTGTGAAGAGTAAATATTTACCTATATTAGCACAATAGTATTTACTTTAGGATAAAATATACAAATATCAAGAATGACTATACAATAATAAATATACATCACATTACAATAAGTATTATTAATATATATGTATTTGTAGATATACCATATCGACAAATAAACAAATCTCGCATTCTATTTTCGGCAAACAATTTAGCAGAAATATTTACTTAACTCATAAATGGTATTTTCTTATTTTATGCGTATTTAGTTATATTCTTATTCTACAATATGTGTGCTAAGTACTGGCTATTCAAAGCAATATGTACATATGTATGTATCTTCGTGCGTTCATATGTACAGTCAGTCATACATATGTACACCTAAGCATGTACATTTGTGAATTCGGCTTCGGTCAGTGGTCATAGATTATATATACATACGTATTTCGTACACAATGCCACACGTTTATTTGTCAGGCGGTACAATATAAGTAGTATACAAACATAAAAATTTCACAAACTTTCAATAGCCAATTTGCGGTATTTTCAGGCTTTGCACAGTCGCATGCCTTTTATTCCATTCTTGTTATAACGACCTTTATTGTTGTGAGTTTTCATACTATATATATTTACAAAGGTTCTTTTCGCCTAATAACTATACTTACATATACTGCATAGAGTGTAGTCACATTGAGGCAAACATGTTTCTTCCACATGGATCCAAGTTTGCCGCTCGCCTCCTTGGCATTTTTGCATCTTATTAAACTTTTAAACCACTACAGATAACAGGTATAGATTTGAGACAACATACATACATATGTAGGTTGGTTTACAATATATGTATTATGTGAATGTAACTATATATGAACTATATTTTATGCTAATCATAATGCTTGTAACCACGCAAATAAGTGTATAAATACATATGTATGAACTCAAAGGAACATAAGATAACTTAACAAGAAAATTTTTGTTTAATTGATAAATTATTTTGTACTTACTATTTAGCATTTATTTAGCATAAAAACCAACGCTAATTAAAGCTAAGCCATACTAAAACCAATATTTATAGCAATACCAAATTGTAAATCTGGTAGTAGATGTCACATTTACTACTCTTTCTACTACATAACTACTATACATAGCGGTACTATTTCAAGTAAGTACTACCACTCAGTTGTCATACATATATTTATAGCGCCTAAATAGCCTAAAAGTAGTCAACACTCAAATTGACAAGTCAGCTTATTTGAAGTGTCACTCATTACTCTAATCAATGGTTGTGGTGTTTAGCCATAAATCACTACTCAATTGAATGTTAATCAATCAATGTGTAGAGAGAGGTAACAAAAAGTGTAGTAGAGAGAGATAGTAGTTAAGAATAAAAGCAGTTTGGTAATTAGTCCAGTAGCAAGTGAGTAATTTTCGGTAGGTGTTGCAAGTTTGTGTGCGAATGTTACTCAATTGAATGAGTGTTAGCAGCAATGTGAACGTTCAAAAACTATGTATGTAAGTGATATGTGTGTAGTATGTGTGGGTGAGTGGCTGGTGAAGAGTATTTATTAAATTGGAGAGAAGTGTATGCAATTTCAGCTAACAAGTTTAGCGAATAGTAAATGATGGTCAACATAGTGTGAAGCATACAAAAGAAATATGTAGTATATGGTGATATGAAAACTGTGAATTATGATGCAAGGGCATACTAAAGTTTTCATTTTCTGATCTAATGATTTTAATAAAACATCTATAAATTGTGAATGACGTACTTTCTCATTTAAAATTATCTTATAAATTTAATGAAATTTCGCAGAAAAATGTGCCTGAGCATTTCATTAAACTATGTTTTCACTAAAGAGTAAAATACTAACTTTCGTCCCAATTATTTCACTTAAAGTCGTTCAAAAAATTGGAGTGCGATATTTTAACCAGTTTTGGCTATTTTTTTATTTAATGTTTACTATTTTTGACGTAGAATACGTCTTACCTTAAGGTATGGGGGCTATGTTCAAATGTTGTAGTTGTAATTTTTAGAGCTTCACAAAAACGCTTATTGCACGAGAACTAATACAGCGATTTCAAAGAAAAGTGTGGCGTTTCAAAGATAAAATTCCAAACCTGTCGACAGATTCATTTTTGTAAATAACCAATTCGGTTTCTGTCGTAAAAACAACGGTAAACATTGCCTTATTTTGGGGTAAATTTTGAGCCTTTAAAGTGCTCTAGCACCTTATTGTTGGCATATATAACTTTCATTTTCGGGATATAGGTTCTTTGGAGCAGTAGAAATATTATCGGGTACAAATTTTATATAAATTTAACAAATATTGAGCATTTTAAGGCAAAAAATTGTTGAAAAAATTTGCAAATTTTTTTCATTACCAAAATGCTCGAAAACCGCTCGAATGATTTTGTTTTTGTTTTCTTTAATCAAAAATTCAAGAGTTTTCCTTTCGTTTGGTATATGGGAAGTATTGGTTGATATCTTCTATATATGTTTATTTTATTCAAATATATGGGCATAAATGATTTTCCATACAAAATCACCTCGTCATCATTTTGCAAACACGTGCATATGTTGGAAGTGTGGGAAGGAGACAAAAAGTATGTATGTGTCCGTAAGTACATATTTCGGGGTTTATCGGTATAATAATCGATACTTCGTCGGTTTTATTACCGATGTTTTTATCGATTTTGCTATCGAAATTTTTATCGATAATGTTATTGATTTTGCTATCGATATTTTCGGAACTTATCGATATAATGATCGGTATTTTTTCGATTTTGTTATCGATATTTTTTCTCGATTTTGTTATAGATATTTTGTTGACTTTGTTGTCGATTTTGTTATCGACACTGTAATCGATTTTATGATAGATTATTTATCGATTTTGTTATCGATATTTTTATCGATTTTGTTATCGATTTTATTACCGATATTTTTATAGATTTTGTTGTCGGTATTTTAATCGATTTTGTAATCGATATTTTTACCGCTTTTGTCATCGATATTTTTATTGATTTTGTTTACGATTTAGCTATCGATATTATTATTGCTTTCGTTATCGATATTTTCATCGAATTTGTTATCGATATTGTTATTGGTTTTGCTATCGATATTTTCGGAACTTACCGATATAATGATCGATACTTTTATCGATTTTGTTATCGATATTTTTTATCGATTTTGTTATCGATTGTGTAATCGATTTTGCTATCGATTTTGTCATCGATACTTTTATCGGTTTTGTTACCGATATTTTTATCGATTTTGCTATCGATATTGTTATAGATTTTTTTATAGGCTTTATATTCGATATTTTTATTGATGTTGCTATCGATATTGGTATCGATATTTTTATGGATTTTGTTATGGATTTTGTTATCGACTTTATAATCGATTTTGTTATCGACTTTGTTATCGATTTTGTAATCGATATTTTGATAGATTTTGTAATCGATTTTGTAATCAGTATTGTTATCGATTTTGCTATCGATTTTGCTTTCGATATTTTTTCGATTTTGATATCAATATTTTCATCGATTTCTTTATCGATGTTTTTATCGATTTTGCTACCGATATTATTATCGCTTTTGTTATCGATATTTTTTGCTTAGTGTGTGCTTTTGTTTTTTTACTTGGATATGCTCTTAACCATACCACGTATTCTACGTTTAAATTTAGCGGCTGTATCTCCGATACAGCCTGCAGGCCAAGACGAAGGCGCTGGACTGTTCCTTTTTTTTGTTTTTTTTTTTTGTGCAAAGATCCAGCAGGCTGTACAAAGACCCCATATACATAAATCCGCATTTCCAACTTTGTACACAAATTACAAAAATTCGACAAATGCGCACCAAAATTTCAAACTTTTTATTCAGAATTGATTAATTAGTATGCAGTTGTATACCCCAATAAATTTTAGTTTCAGGTTAGTCAAAAGTCCTGTCGATCTTTGAGATTTATTTTTTTTTTATGGAAATAGAAAATTGCCAAAAATCAACGACATTTTTTCGCAGCTTTAAACCTGCACTTTGTTATACTAAAATTTAATGGGCTACAAAACTGCATAGATATCAAAATTTGTCCACAAATTCTGTTTAAAAAGGTTGACATTTCAGTGAAACTCTGCAGGAGTTTAAAAATTTTTCACAAAGTTCGAAATTTGAATTTATGTGGTATTTGTTGCATGACCAGTAAGGAAGCACTTCAAAGGGTGCAAAGAACTGCGATGCTATGCATCTGTGAGGCTCGCGCATAACTCCATCGAAGGCAATGTACGGGTTGCTCAGTATGTGGCCAATTGAAATTGTTGGAAAACAATCAGCGGGATGTGCCGCCTTGAGGCTGAGGGAACTACCAGACAGGAGAGACACTCAGGATGGCCACCCCGCAATCTTAAAGAACATAAACCGGAAACGGATTACTGTGCACCAAATCTGAACTTGACAAAGAGGTATAGGATTTCCTCACAGCGCTCGACTCCGTTATATGCAGTTTAAAACCGTAGCGGACTGTCGCAGATCTCTAAACGAGATGGCTTAGTAGTCTGCTCTTCACTTGATATGGATACCAGGCAATTAAAGGGCAGACGAACTTGCAATAGAGGGCACATTCGCGTCACTTTCGCAGACCTGGAAAGGTTAAAACATGCCGCTCGCTACCTTCAAGCTCATTATAAGGGAGCTATCTCTTAAACTAGCCAGGTACAGGTGAGCTCCTCTCACCGCTTGCAACAATACGAAGCTAACGTGGAACTAAGGGCCTATGTATGCTAGTGGGGTCGCTGGCAGCCACTTCAACCTAACCTTACCATAATGAGTTAGGCCTATAGAAAATAGAAATTGTCAAAACTGATCAAAACATTGCACTACTATTATTTCGTAGAGAACTTGTAAATCAATTGTGTTCACACTTTTCAATATGATTTCATAGATATTTAAGTAGCACGTGTGTTAGCCACTTAGCTATAAGTCACCTGAAGACTGAATCCAGCAGTGGAGTTCGGACAATCGCTGCGCTAAATTTGCGTCAAAAATTGCTCTAAATGAAAATCGCATCTCAACGACAGTTTTTTTTTTCAAGGCGAAATTAGGTGATCTCGATACTAAAATCTTAGATTTGCAATCTTGAAGTCTTCAAAACTAGTTTAAGTATTTCCGACGTACCTTCTGTGATATCTTTGACTATCACTTTGTGGTTTGTACTTGATTTCACAATAAAAAATGGTGGCATACCTTTAGACACTTTCCTCAGCAACGATGCAAAAATTAAATAGCACATAATCTTTTAAACTGCATGCGGATTTTGTTGAAATTTTAGTGAAATCCCAGAGATCTAAATGAAGAAAACATATGGGAATTACTCTTGGATTTTGAAAGATTTCGCGAAATCTGAAATTTCAATTATGCGGGAGTGTACTACATGAATGTGCGCGAAATTAAGATAGCGTGAACATAGCTTTAAAATTTTGGCACACATATGTACGTACTTGAGTGTACATATAGAAATATAAATTTTTAATAATTTGTTACTCAAGTCGGTACTTTTGCGAATTTTCGATGGAATTTGAAGATCAGTGATCAGAAATAAAACTCGTAGTATGCCGATTAACTATATGGAACTCTAAATAATAAAAAAATCTATGAATTTAAAAGACGAAATTCTATTGATACATAGAAACTTAAGATTCGCCTGTGAGCGCTGTTCGATAAGCGTTCTTAAGAAGAAAAAACTGTTTAGTTACGATCAAATAAGTGCTTAAGTTATTTTTTAGTTGAAAATAGAGCAATTGCCTTTAAGGTTTATAGATATGGACTGTTTCAATTGTACACAATTTTTTTGGTTTATAAATTCGACACCTCCAAGTCGCGTTAGACTTACTCAGACTTAGCACAGTATGGTTTGGGGGCGCCGAATTATCCTTTAAAAGATTTATTACCTTCTCAATATGCATTTATAAATATATATATATATTTTTTTCATTATAAAAAAACTTCTGAGATAGTAAGTTTATAATAAAATAAATGCTCTAAAAAGAATTTATTATTTTTTCTAAAGTGGCCTCACAGGCGAAAATTAGTATTAAATGATAAAAAAAAAATAATTAGTATTATGGGGTTAAGGTTGAGAAATGTGCCGAATACAGTTTTACTAATAAGCTAATTGGAAAGTGAGACATTTCTCAACCAAAATGTTTGATACAATGTTCAATACATACGAATCTGGCCATACGTAGCTGGACTATCCCTTTCTTAAGAAGATTATTGAATTTTTCTCTATTCATAAAAACTGTGATGAGTAAGTTGAGTGGGCTCCTTTGGCGATGAGCCATTCAGATTCTATAGGATCATTCTAGGAATCGAAGTCAATGCCTGATGAGAAATTCACATTACTGTTTCCTGTGCTTCGCTACATCAAATGCGCTACAACTCAATAGTAGCTGGTAAGAAAGCCTGTGGCTATGTCGTCAATGTCGTTTCTGCACATACTAAGAATTTTTCTCGCATCTTTAAGCTAATATTTTTAGATTGAATATTTTCTTGTGACTGTTAATTTCAAAGTTCGTTCGCTAATGTTGAGTTGTATTTTTTAAAACTACCTATTCGAGCCATGCTTAGTAGAAGCTTAATTGCCAAGGTGGAAGCTACTCGCAAAGCCCGACGATATCTACGCTGGCGAATCTTTCTTGAGTTTGGACTGGATGAATGCCCCCTCGCTCTTCTTATTCGTTCAGAAAGGAGTTTGTGGTCTAATTAGAATGGGCTTGGAATTGGTTTTACGCATCCAGATTTCCAGATTCGATTTGATGTCGCCGTCTCAGCGCAGCAATTGTCGGCAATTCGGGGTTTAGACTTTTTGTACAGCTCTTTCTACACAGTTGAGAGTTCCATGGGCGCTTATCATACAGAGTTGCACTAAGATATTTAACTAATTTAGAGTAGTGTATCTTGACTACATTGCCAAAATGGGACAGGTTGTCCTTTTTCAGAGGGAAAATAATGATTTTAAAAAAATTAGCTCTAAGGTTGGAAATTCTTTTCGGTCTGGCAGTGGCTAAACCGGCAATGGCATCAACATAGCCGCGAGAGCATCAATGCCTTTCTCATTAAGTAGGCAGGGAAATATCTGCACTCTACTCTGGAGTGGCCTACGTTGACAATGTGGCATTGATAGCACAGGAAAAGGGTCTGGAAAAACGGTTTGAACTTATACAGAGTTACGTGAACTAGGTTGAAAATTGGGCTTTTAGTTGCAGGGTGGATGTGAACCATAGCAAAACGGTGTTTGTTCTTTATACTAGGAGATATAAGATATCGAATTGCCGCCTGTCGTCAATGGGCGGTTTTTCAATAGGGTCCTCTGGCAGCGTGAGGTAAATACTTGGGCTTGATCCTTGACAACAAGCTTTCCAGGAAACCTAACGTAGAGTAAAGAGTCAAGAAGGCTTTATATTGTTGCGGAGGTTCCTAATGCAAGAGCTAGTGTCCAGTTTTTAAATTAACAAAAATTATGTCCAATTTTCAAATTACGCAAAAATTATATTCAGTTTTTAAGCTATATCCAAATGTTATGCCAAATTTTTATTTATCAAAATTTGATGTCCAAATTTTTATTACAAGCATTCGTGTTATGTATGGCCAGTTTCGCACCATCAAATGAAGAGTACTCTACGCTTAAATATAATATGTAGTAGATTTGAAGATGAGTGCAAAAACAAATGGTTTGCTAGATGAGAAAATCAAATAGAGAAATTTAAGTTATCAAAAAAGTCGATCTGTGAGCTTATTTAGTTTACAAATTACAGAAATTAAGAAAATTTAAAAGTTGAAAGCTCTAAAGGAATACATACAGTAAAGTGTGTTGAGCCTTTTATGCTAAAACTATTTAGATACATGAAAAAAGTTATGTGAATGAGAAGTCAAAATGAGTAGTAGCATAGTCAGCCGTTCTGTTCTGTGTGTTGTGGCATAGTGCAATTTGAGTTTGGTTTTTTTTTGGTTATTTGTATACATATATATGGCTATTTTGTTGTTGTGGTTTTTTTAATCATCATTGCCAGCAAAGCAAAATATGCAAAAGTGTGTGAAATAAAACTAACTGATTGATAGGGAGGTTGGTTTTTCAAAAAAGGGGGGCATATAGAGATTTAATTTGTAGCAAACATTATAATAATAAGTAGCATACAAGTTGCCGCATATACATATGTATATTTCTAACTACGCAAATTTTACAACAATGCTTACCGGCTTTGCTTTTGGCTGCTGTTTTACTTGTCGCTTCTGCTTCAACATATTCCAACGCCAAAGCACTGAATATTGCGGAATTTTCGCAGCGACTTTTCGTGTTGACTAAAACGCTACGAGTATTGCAAAAATGCGAAACGAAACAAGTTTTGTAATGACTTAGGCAGCTGTTGTTGTTGTGGTTGCTTTTATTGCAGCTGTTGACTGGTCCAATGACGATAGTAGCAAGGATTTCGCTGTTATTTTTCCAACTTTTTTTTTCTTACAAGATACCAGTTCGATATGTGCTTTGTTGTAGTTGTAGTTATCCTTAAAAGTAGCTTGTTTGCATAGGAGTAGTTAAGTTAAAAGAGATTCGAGAATTTGTTTTGCTGATACACAGAAATGATCTGTGCCATATGAACAGCTTTCATTTGATTTCCTAAAATTGGATGCTTCTTCTTTACGTTGTGCTGTGCTTTCTTGGATTTGAATTGATTTTCCAATGTATTTCTTGCTTGCTGTGTTTTTTACGCTCTCAATATTTATGTTGCAGTTGACAGCAGGCGTATCAGTTGTTTTTTATGGCATGTCTGTTTGCAAGCTCTTTTCGACCGACGTCCAACAGAAAATGCCAACGAAAGCAAAATAAATGAAAAATGAGTTCAGAATTTGGCAATTTCACGCTGAATACGTCGAAATGGAATTAGGAAGTTAGCAAAAGGGAAGTGAAAAGGCCTTTGAGTAGGCCTAAAGATATTAGTTGGATAAGGCAGTGACACCGGTGCGTTTCGCATGGCAGCGTGGCACATTCGGAAAAAGGGATTTCATTGTATAAGTGAGGGGTAAATTTTCTGTTTTTTCCCTCTTTTTGCTGTTTTGCGATTTTTTTTTCTGCTCTATTTTGGGCAAGAACCAATTTAAATATTGATAACAACACCTGCTACGTTCATGTATTCGATGGATTTCCTCGGTAAACACTAATTGAAATTGTTAATTTTTTGTATTTTTTATTTTTTTGGCCACTGAAATGCATTTAAGCTCACAACCACTCAATTGTTTGTCGATGCGTTCGTACTTTTTCATTGCTCTGCATTTAATTAGATTTTACTCAAACGCAGCGTGGCATACATACTTGTGAACATTAGGGTGCACCACTCTCCACGAGAAAAACTTTAGCTCAATAAAATTGTTGATTAACTTTATTAAAAAAAATAAATAAATATTTCGAGATAATGAAAATTTTAATATTTTTCTGAAATATTTTTGAGGATGTTTTTAAGTATAATAAGTTTTATAATTCTGTTGTAATAACCGCGACTTTTTTGATGGGGCACCCTAATGTGCATATGTATGTAGACGGCTAGTTAAATTTACTTATGAGATATTATATAATTTTTAACATTTTCAATTCTTTTTAACAATCTGCAAATGGGAACGTATAAAACAAAAATTTTCTACCTTTTTCGTGTATATTAATTTCAACTAAATGAACGCTTGAAAGTAAAAGCTAGAGGTAAATTCCTGGGGCTTAATAAAGTGGATTTTTTGCAACTTAAAATTGGGCCAAACAATTTTGGCTGGACATAAATATATCTAGTGGGACATAAATTTTGTTGGACACAAATATATGTAGGTGGACATAAACTTGGTTGGTCATTAATTTGGTTGGACATAAAATTGGTTGGACATAAATTTGGGGCGACATAAATTTGGTTGGCCATAAATATGGTGGGACATAAATTTGGTGGTACAAAAATTTGGTTGGACATAAATTCGGCTGGATCAATTTTTCCTAGTCTTTCAGAAACTGGATATACATATGTACATTTGTGGTTATTACAAACTGACCATAAAATGTTGGCAATTTAAAAACTGAACAAATAAACTTGACACATGTATGTAAGTGGGTGCGCATAAGTTGGCGTTTCGATAAAAACAAAAAGTTGTGCCAATTTTTAAACAACGAAAATTTGTTGTCAATACGATCAGTAAATAGTGTATGCCCACTTTTAAAATGAGCAAAAATTTATGTCCACTTTATAATTAAAAAAAAATTATTTTAATTTTAATGCCAGTTTTTAAATTACCAAATATAAATTCTCAGAACTTAAAAGCTTCCATATGTATATCCAATGTGTGTATGTGTGTCCAGTAATTAAATAAAAAGAAAAATATGTCCGGTTCTTAAGTTAATGTAATGAACAGTTTTGCGAAACAGAAGTGCAAAATATAAATATGCCCGCATTTTAGTTTACCATGAAAATTTACCATAAAATAAAAATATGACCAATTTACAAATAATAATTTATGTTAAATTTCCAAGTGTCCATTTTTTTAAGGCTATAATTTTATGTCCACTTTTAAATGGCTAACAAATCAAAGCCATTTTTAAACTACAACAAATATACATCCAGTTCATGTATCACGACAAATTTATGTCCAGCTGTTTTACTTTCAAACGTTCAAATGTTACTCATACGCTGCGTAGCACTCAGTTATAAATAAGTATGTTGAGTATAAGTTTGTGTAATTCATTTATTGAGTATACATAGTTGTTTGCAGCCAGCCATCTTTAATATTTTTTTAACAGACAATTATAAATTTTTAATTTTCCAATATGTCTGTGGGCAATAAAATATGTTACTCATACGCTGCGTAGTATCTACGATAGGCAAGGTTAGTAAAAGTCACGTATCGAAAAGAGAAACACAGGACGATACAACTTTTTGTAAGAGTTAATTGACAATAATACGGGTTTTTCGGCAACGCACAGTTTACATCTTTTTTTAATATCTTTCACATGAAGGCATTACTTTTTTATGCACACTGTAAAAATTCACTTTTTGTATGCACGAATATCATAACAAGTACGTTTAAAAGGTCATTTGTTATTGAACAGAATCTTTTTGTTGAGTGGGGTTATTTTGGTTAAGTGAAGTCTTTATATGGCTCGTAAAATGTGGTTATATTATCTTTCTGAAATTGTTATTTTTCATATACGCACGAACACAGATGTAGACTTTTTATTATTATCATTATTTGTACATTTATAAAATACAATGAAATACCTTTTACCTGGCGGACAAACATTAGCAGTTAATGCCTTAACACTTTTGCTTCTCTCTTTCTTCTTTGTGTTATTGTTATCCTGCTTCTGCCACCTTCATTTACAATTGTTAAGGTTTATTTTTTATTTTATTTTATTTTTTAATGGGTTGTGGCATTAAAATGCCAGAATGCTGTTATTTATTTAATAGCTGTAAATACATACAGAAGACAAACAGCGTAAATATGTTTACCTTTTTCGGCTTTTTCAGTGAGACTGTACGCGAGTACTGATGATACACCTGCACATGATTCGATGTGAATTTTCCCAACATTTGTTTTGACGTTTGAGTTGCACGCTCCCCGGTTTACTGATTGAATGCACTGCGGGAAATGTGAATGTTCTGCAATGAAAATAAGAGGGAATTCCATTAAAATAAAAATTAAAAAAATAAAAGAAAAACTTTTGCGTATACGCCATGTAGAGCTACGCAATTAATAATCAATTTGAGTTGTATTGTAAAATGTTGTAATTTTAGGGAACATTCTTGTCGCTTACTTTAGTTTTATAATAAAGCACAAAGTTTCTGTAATTAATGTAACTGCAACAGTGATAAATTTTATTTTATGTATTGATTCAAATGCATGTTACGAAAATTCTTCGCCACCTATCCTTTAATTGCTATCGGTAATATTATTGATATATTCATCGGTTTGCATATATTTTCTAATTGTTATTGCTACATCTGCCGATGCTGTTGCATATTCCTTTAACAATATTTTATCGATATCAGTATATTATCGATATCCGGAATTATATCGATATCAATATTTTTATCGACATCAGTATTTTTATCGATATCAGTATTTTTATCGATATC